GGGTGGAATAACGAAGGTTCCACTCATGACATTATACTTTATACAACATTTTCACTTTATACAATACACAGGTTATTAGTATTTATAATCATGACTACAACCTTGTCCGGCCTTTCTGTATAACCAGCTTATTGTTTTGGCTCTTTAACATGTATCTCCAGATGCCGGTCTGGCTGAGGTTACCTGGTATACCATTAGTGTTTCAAAGGTGGGGGTGGGAATCACAGACGCCAAATGTGGGGTATGATGGAGTGGGGTTAGTTGGTACCGTGTGTATTTCCAACGGTCATTATATCCCACTTTACTTAGTACAGCCGTAGTTTGGATAGTTTAAACAGTGTCGGCAGGGCACTGTCTATGCACCTCAGCCCGGAGGTGTCCACATGTTTACCAGCCTGTCCTGCGCTCGTTGTCGTGCCTTTTTACCGTGTGGCCTATGTCAATGAGTTGGACAGAAGGAGGTGGTGGAGGGGAGTGGGGGGGTCCAGGTGCTCACCCGGGGGGGGAGGGGTATGAGGGGAGTTAGCTTAAATATATACACTGGTGGGTTGTTTGTCTCGTCTGTATGTGGTACATCTACCTGGTTTCTTTTGAGAAGGGTTCGCTGTACCTGTTTGATCTCTCATCACCGGCCTCTTTCCACTGTTTCCCGGGGTATACCCTCTCAGATTGCGTTGGTGAGGCTAAAGAATCTTACTCATCCCCAGTTGTTTGGGACTTCACCTTGTTCCAGTATTGTTCCCAAATTTTCCCCGCCTCCATAGTTGCCACTCCCGTCCCCAATTGTTGGGCCGCCATGTGTTCATATTCCCAATTCTTTTGGATCTGGGTAACTAGCTCAGCTTTTGTGGGGATGTTCCGTGATTTCCAGTTTTTTGCTATTAGGTTACATGCTGCTATCAGCGTGTGGAATAGGAGTTTGGAGTGGACCTTGGTCAGGCCTTCTGGCCATATGTATAAGAGGCATGTAGCCGGGGTCAGGGTCATCTTTGCAGGAAGCAGTTGGTCCACGATGGTGCTCACCATGGCCCAGTAAGGTTGCACGTCTTTACACGTCCACCAAATATGTATTAGTGAGCCTGTGTCTAGCTGGCATCTCCAGCACTGAGTAGACACATTCGGGAACATGTGTGCTAGCCGTGTGGGGACCAAATACCACCTGTATTGCAGTTTTCTCACTTGTTCAAAGTGTGTAATGCAGGCTGTGTTGCCCTTGTGGATTGTGAAGGCTCTGGACCATTGGGCCTCCGTGAAGGTGCTGCCAAGGTCTTTGTGCCATGCCTGTATAAAGTTGTCTGTGGATGCGTGAGTGCCCTCAAGCAATGTGTTATATATTTTTGAAATGCTTCGTCTGTGTGGCTTGCCCGTGAGGCACCACGTGTCAAAGTTTGAGATCATGGGTGTCGTAGGTGGAGTCTTGGGTTGCCGTAGGGTGGACTTGAGCTGCAAGTATGAGAAAATTGCTTTACTCGGTAGGTTGTACTGTGTTTGTAGGTCCGGGAACTGTTTTAGGGATGTACCCTTGTATAAGTCGTGTATGTGTGTACACCCTGCATCCGTCCAAGTCCGATAGTCAAATGTTTTGTTTCTCAGGTGGATACTATACATTGTCGATGCTAGCGATGTGGTTCCTGAGCCACTGAGGTGCGTTCTATATGTGTCCCAGGTATGCAGCATTAGTTTGGTGGTCTCTAGCATGGTCGGTGTTGTTGGCCTTAGGTGTTTTGGCACCCAAAACAAGTGGTGCATCCCTGCTCTACATGTCCATTGGGATTCAATGGCTACCCATTGTGGTGGGTTAGCTGCCCTGTGTGTCGTGGCTAGCGCTGCTAGAATGGCCGCCTTGTAGTACAGTTTGACGTCTGGGAAGCTCATACCCCCCCTCTCCGTTGTTCTTTTTATTGTAGAGTATGCCACTCTGGGTGTTTTGTTCGCCCACACGAATCTCGTGATGATTTTTTGTAGTTTGACCATATATTGCCTAGGTATAGGGATTTGCAGCGTGCGGAATAGGTATTGTAATTTTGGCAACAGTGACATTTTAAATGCCGCTATGCGCCCATGCCACGAATGGAAGTCACTGTTCCACTGGTCTAACGTCTGAGAGATTTCCTGCAGGAGTTTCTCATAATTATATTTAAACATTTGGCCGCTCGTCTTGGCTAGCTTAATCCCCAGGAATGTGATATAGTCTTCCCTCCAGTCAAAGGTGAAGGAGTTCGTCAGTGTTTGTAAAGTATGTTCTGGCAGATGGATTCCCATTGCTTGTGTTTTTGTGAGATTTAATTTGTAGTAGGATACTTTGTTATATTCTCGTATGCACTGTAGTAAATTCGGTAGGGATATTATTGGTT